GCCAAGAAACTGAGGTCACAGTTTTACCTTCCTGTCCCAAAGAGCCCTCTTCTGAAGATCCTGACGTGCATGTTTGTAGAGCAGGAGCGTCTCTGGGAAGGAAGGGCTCAGCTCATTCCTGACGGATTCCTGCTTGATTTAGTGATTTTCCTGTTTTTGAGCAGTAAATGTGTTGAAAATGTTTAAACAAATTCATTTCCTATTTATTCTGATCAGATTTAATACTCATGGGACAAAGGGAAGGTTGATTTCTAATACTTGCCAGCATTTATCCAATGAGAAGTACTAGGTTTTTTTTGTTTGTTTGTTTGTTTTTGTTTTTTTTTTTTCGAGACAGGGTTTTGGAGGCTGTCCTGGAACTAGCTCTTGTAGACCAGGCTGGTCTCGAACTCACAGAGATCCGCCTGCCTCTGCCTCCCGAGTGCTGGGATTAAAGGCATGCGCCACCACTGCCCGGCCGAGAAGTACTAGTTTTATCAGTCTTCCTAGTCTTTTATAAATTTTTGGTTTTTTTTGATTTTTCGAGACAGGGTTTCTCCGTAGCTTTTGGTTCCTGTCCTGGAACTAGCTCTTGTAGACCAGGCTGGCCTCGAACTTACAGAGATCCGCCTGCCTCTGCCTCCCAAGTGCTGGGACTAAAGGCGTGCACCACCAGCGCCCGGCCATAAATTTTTATTCTTAATGTAGGTATATTTGTCTGCATGTTAGTGGGTATGTGCTCATGAGTGCAGGTGCAGCAAGCGCTCTTAGCCGCTGAGCCATCTCCTTTTAGCATCTGTTCAAGAGTCTCCTTGGGGCCAGCAAGATGGCTCAGCAGATAAAGGTGTCTGCTGCCAGGCCTGATGACCTGAGTTCAGTCTTCAGGACAGACTCTGACCTTCACAAGCACACTGAGGTGCATGCACACCTACACACACACACACACACACACACAAATAAGTGTAATTTTAAAAACTATTCCCATGCTTTGATTTGAATCTCTTTGCATGCATGATAACAAGGAATGTAATACATTTATTATTGCTTGTGTCTGCCTCTTTTTGTCTAATCTTACATCTTTTCCCCTACATGGGATAACCATGAAGGGGGAAAAAAAGAGGGACACATTTAAAATTGATGCCTTTTATTTTAGAAGTGTCCAAAAATACATGTCATACAGGTCCCAAAAAATGCCTGCCACCTTGACCCATTTGACTTTATATCCTCGTTGAAGGGAAGAGCCGCCCTCTGAGGAGAGCTTGTCCCTTGTGGGGAGGGTGTGGGTAAGACTAAGGGGGTCCCTGTTCAGATCCCAAAGATGCTGTGATTAGGGACTGTGGTCCCCAGCTCAAGCACCTGGGACAAGGCATGTTCCACCTTTATGATGGCCTCCCCCACTGAGAGGAACAACTGATGGAGGACAAAAGGCAGCTATGACTTTTGTCATGACTGACCCATGTCGCATTGATAGCACCCAGTATATCAGCTGGCCCACATCACGGTGCTCCCAAAGGGTATGAAATAACTTTTAGGACAATCCTAGATGGACCAATTTGGGCTAGGGACTGACACACAATTCATCAGATCCTAGATGATCAGAACAAAAGCAGACTCGTGGGCAATGGCTGTAGCCAATAATCTAAGCAGTGCCCAGAAAGAAAAAGTATTTCCCCAAAGGGTGGGAGTTAAGTTCCTGACTCACTTCCTGAGTTAGAAGCCTCATTCCACCTGTGGAGGCTGTGACGGGAGGATCATGAGTTTGAGGCAAGTCCTACAGAGGAAGACCCTGGGAGGTTTTGGTTGGTTAGTTTTTGTTTTGTTTTTAATTTAGGCAGCTGGCTTCCATAGATGAATGAGCTGTATTATATCAAGGTTATGCAGAAGGCAAGAAGTTAGGGGAAAGGGGCACAAGGCAACTTTGGCAGAGTGGGCATCCCTGTGAGAAGTTTTAATAAGATCCCTGGTCTTTCTAAGTTTGAGCCTCCTAAACCGATCCAAGGGTCGACCTAGCTAAGTTTGCTAGCCCAAAAGGAGCAGGTTAACAACAGATTTGTCAGGCAGTGGAGTGTAATGGAGACCAACAGATTAAAAGAACACTTCACAACGACCACGGCAGTGACAACCTTCCGGGTTGGTTTCCACATCAAAGCACCTGGGATTCCCTTTCTTCCCTGTCACATGACAGGTGGCTCCTAACCTTTCGGATTTAAACTGTCAGTCCCTTGAGTACACTACTCAGGCTGCTCCAGGTTAAAAATAACCCCTATTTAGCTCTTGACAAGTGTGACCACGTTATGGTTAAGATGGAGCACCCACCAACGGGAAGCATGTGAGGGCAGTGGCCCTGTGTGTTGCTCACCAGTGTCAGGGTTTAGTCCGACGCCTGACAAGAGCAGGACACATGAGCTCAGTACTTACCGACAAGAACTAGTAAAAGGTATTTTCATTCTGATAGAAAGTGAGTTGTTTGACTGTCCCCAGGCCATTTCAAAGCAGTAGGAAGAAGAGCCAGGCCAAGCTCACAGTCATGACCTTTGACCCTCTTGTTTGCTCCTGAACATAAAAATGACATGCTGGGTTTGCTTTAACAAGGAAGTCAGCTGCCTAAGTGGATCGCCCAGGCTTTCACCTTCGGGAAGCAGCGTGGCTTGGTGACATCCCCAGACAGCCAAAGGTGCCCGAGTGACATCCCCAGACAGCCAAAGGTGCCCGAGCTGCTTCCCTTTGAAGAGGTCCTGCTCTGGACACGGCTCCCTTCTGCCCCAGTAGCAACAACTCCCCTCCACCCCATTTTTTTTTTCTTTTTACTTATTTTTGGTTTTTCCAGACGGCCTGTTTCCATAGCCCTGGCTGCCCTGGAACTCACTCTGTAGACCAGGCTGGCCTCAACTCAGAGATCTGCCTGCTCTGCCTCTCCAGTGCTAGGATTACAGGCATGCTCCACTACACCAGGCTAAAAACAATTTTTTAATTTATTTTACGTCATATGTATAGGTATTTTGTTTGCATGTATGTCTGTGCACCAGGAGAATTACAGGAGATTGTGAGCCCTTATATGAGTGCTGAAATTGAACCCGGGTTTTCTGAAAGAGCCATCCTTCAGCCCTCCACCCTTTTTAGGAGGGGACATCACTATCTATTGCCCACACTGAAATTCTGAGCTCAGGTGACCCACCCCCATGTGCTGGGTCTGCAGGCCTATAGCACCTCACTCAGCTATCAGACCCCTGCTGATTACCGCCTGCATGGGCCCAGTGGAAGGATGTTTACTGTCCCTGGCTTATGGTGGAGATGCTTTCCGGAGATGCATTTTTGTCAGGCTCTCTGCAGGGCGGGTGCTGGTCCATGGACCCCACTCTGAGCTCCATAGAATGAAATGCAGTGGGGACAGAACAGGACACACAGATCAGGGACAACCTTTCAGAAAGTCCTCCTTTATCTCTTTAGCACTTCAAGGCTGAGCTTCTGAGAGCAGGAAATCAATCGGGGACTCCCAGGAATGCCCCCAGCCCCCCCCTCAAAAAAACAGCCAGAGCTAAACTGCACAGGCAAGTCCATCTCTCACCTGGGCAAGCTGATTTCCCAGAGCTACCCTAGGTTACGGGTGGGGGCTAGAACGGCTAGTGGCTCGCCTGCCTTCCCTGCCGGAATCTCACCCAGAAGCCCCTGGAGTTTGTTCTTCCCTTAAGTTTTTCCCAGGTGCCTCCTCGGCCACCCTTAAATTTTACACTCAGGGGTGGAGCTAAATGTCCCCTGGATGTCATCCAACAGCTTTTCTGAGCAGCCATCATTCTCGATCATTCTCTGCCGAGACTTGTCCGGAGCCTTGGCTAGAGGCTGGAGGAAGGCCAGGCTGTCTGGGCTGGCTGAAGTCTCTGGAGAGAGTTCCATGTGAGCCCTGGGGCCTGGTCAGCATCTCGTTTAAGCCTCTCAAACAGGAATAAAGTACAGCATGCACCGTAGATGTGTACTGCCTGAATGAATAAATGACTGTCCCGCTGGGTGCAGAGATGGGGCATGTAAACATTCTACCACTGAAGCCCCTGACCTAACCCTTTCCTGGGGGCCTGCCCCAGGGCCTCCTGTCTGCATCTGAGCCAACAGGAGGCTCCCCTCCACACAACAAAAAACCCTGGAGTTGAGAAGCCTGTTCCCAGAAGCCCCTTCCTGAGCAGGCACCAAGATGCCCTCTTCCCAGTTCAGAGCTGTGGTCTGTCCTGGCCCATCATCTCTGAGTTTGTTCTCTGCCAAGAGTCCTGGCTACGTCCTCACTGTTTGCAAGAGCTGTGGCTGCTTCACATTCAGGATGGCTTTCTCCTGGAGGCCAGGCCTTGAAGGAGGGGTGTGCGCCGAAGGCAGAGAGAGGGCCAGCAGGAACTCTGCAGCATGGCCTTTCTGAGGCAGCGCAGGCAGCCGCAGCCTCTCTCTCTGACAGTGAGCAGGCAGGCACAGCCCAAGAGAAAGAAACGCTGTCCTCGCTGCAGCTCAGATGCTTAACCATGTTCACACTGAGGGCTGGGAAGCACGGGATCTCCCACAGCAATAGGAGGCTGCACTAGACAAGCAAGGTGGACCTGCAGGTAAGGGGCTTGGGTGGGTGAGCAGCTAATGACAGCTCAGGGAGCTGCTAGACTTAGGGTCTCTCAGTCTGGGTCCCCTGCTGCAGCCCTCAGCTTCCCCCTTTCTCTCCTTACCAGCTCCATCCCAGGGAATTTCTCACCCTGCCCTGACCCAGCTCCCAACAGAAGAAGGCTACCCCAACCTTAGCAAGGCTGAAACTGGGGGCTGAGAGAAAGTCCATCCTATGCCCGGGAACACCCTCTGGAGCCAGCCAACCCCAAGCAGCCCCTCTACAGAAGCCAGTCCCCAGCCAGCTGTCCCACAGGCCCTCACCTGGCAGGCTCAAAGAGCTCCTGGCAGTTGCTATTATGCTTCCTGCTATTCTGGACCAGCTCTTGGGGATGCTCGCCCTGCTGACCCCCTTCTGGTGGCTCGTCTTCTGGCCGTTCCTGCTCAATCTCGTTGGCTTCGAGCTCCACATTGGTTTCCTCCTCCTGACCCCTGGGAAAGACATGGCCGCCACCTTCTTAGAGCACTGACAGAGATTGCACACCCAGCTGGGCCACTCTTTCCTCCAGCAGAGCAGCCTGTGGCCAGGTGGACCCGTACCAGCTGGGTTCGTTCAGGCTGCATCTTGGCAACCCAAACAAATCAATCACACAGGTCCGCGCAGCACCCACAGTCCAGGTTGCTGGGGCTGAGGAAGCACACGCTGCCTGACCCAATTCCTCATTCTGGTCCCAGTTCTTCCTAAATGCCTTCTCCAAGGGCAAGGCCAGGACTCCTTTCCCTTCCTGTCATCCCAGACCCAGCATCCTCCCATGCTGTATTCTGTGTTCCAACACTAAGTGCACATACACACACATGCACACATATCTTCCTCCGTCTGTCCTGGACCAAGTCCTTTTGTATAAGCCAGTGTTCCCATCTCACAGATGGGGAAACCGAGGCTCAAGGAGTCATAGAGCTTGTCTAAAATCACCCAGTAAGAAAGATCCTGTAGGGGCTGGAGAGATGGCTCAGTGGTTAAGAGCATTGCCTGCTCTTCCAAAGGTCCTGAGTTCAATTCCCGGCAACCACATGGTGGCTCACAACCATCTGTAATGAGGTCTGGCGCCCTCTTCTGGCCTGCAGGCATACACACAGACAGAACATTGTATACATAATAAATAAATAAATATTTAAAAAAAAAAAAAAAAAAAAGAAAGATCCTGTAAATTTATCTTCTGCCATGAGACCTGCAGACATCTTCCCCAGGTCTTATGAATCAAGTCCGGTCTTATGAAGCTGGTACACATACCATGGCACCTATACACCCCAACCCAGGACCAGCCAGATGAGGCTCCAGGCAGGGGCTGGGGTGCTCCTTGGAACTGGGGGATAAAGGTTAGCTTACTTCACTTTCTCAAACTTCTTGTCTCGGTAAAACTCGCTCTTCCTGATGAGGTAGATGAGCACCAGGTCGCAGAAGAAAGCCCCCTGCAAGAGAGTTCCAAGCTTTGACACAAAATCCTAGCTCCATAATCCTTGAGCCTGCAACAACTCAGGAGCAGGGCACTACCTGAACATAAAGAAACATCCCAGGCCGGGGCAGTGGTGGCGCACGCCTTTAAACCCAGCACTCAGGAGGCAGAGACGCAGAGACAGGCAGATCTTTGTGAGTTCGAGGCCAGCCTGGTCTACAAAAGCTAGTTCCAGAGCAGACTCCAAAGCTACAGAGAAACCCTGTCTTGAAAAACAAAAACAAACAAACAAACAAAAACAACAACAACAAAAAAGGAAACATCCCAGAAAGGAGTGATGTCCAGGGGCACAAAGCCGCTCCATGGTAGACACAGGTGAGCTCTGGGAGTGCCTCCTGATTCCATGGCCCAAGCGCACCTTCCTGCCCTGACCAAATCTAACTTCAACATATCTGCTAAGAATCTATTACCGGCCAGATTTGCACTGGGGGGCCAGGAAGGTGTGGACCACAGAGACCTAGGGACTTGCTGTGCTGCAGGAAACAAGCAGATTGTGATATAGTCATCAGCCCTGTAATGGGAATGGGATTGGGAGCAGGTGAAGGGCAGCGTTCACTCAGCCTGGGTCGCTGAACTAGAGGCCTGGAATTGCATGGCAAAGGGAAAGGCAGGCTTGTCATCACCAGGAAATGATCAGGGCCTGTGGGGGAAGAGCAAAAGGTGCTTCCGGTGGGGGTGAGAACCAGCGTGTCTGAGAATGTCTTGTAGACATTGGTCCTGGTCCTTTGCGGGGAGGCAAGAGAGCAGCAGCTGTGCTCATTTGAAGAGAGCCCTGATAGCCGGTGTAAGATGGACCAGCAGGCATCTTAACCTTGACAACAAGGACATTACAACTGTGGTCAGAAAAAGACAGGAAGCCTGAGCAGATCCAGTTGTCATGGACTAATCACCCCTGAACACAGATCAGAGCACGGTGTATGTAATGCCAGTCTGCTCCAACAGAGGGCGACTCTACCTATGGAGCAGGGATAGAGGTGTTCCTGAAGGCAGAGGAGGCCCTGAGTAGAGTGTGCCCTTCTTCCTGTCTTCCCTAGACTCCAGAAATGTCATTTATCAATTCTTCGTTCCTACATTTTCCCTCACCCTTCACCACCACCTTCCATAATACTGTGGGATAACTTTTCTGTACGCTGTGTATTTGTGTTGCTCTCGTTGGTAGATAACAAAAGCTGAGTTGGCCTATAGCCAGGCAGAATACAGCTAGGGAGGAAAGCCAAACAGAGATAAAGAGAAGAGAAGGACAAAGTCGAAAGGACAGCAGCCAGCTGCCCAAAGAGCAAGATGCCAGCAGATCAGTAGCACCACGGACATGTGGCAATACATTGATCAATAGAAATGGGTTAATTTAAATGTAAAAGCCAGTTAGGGATAAGCCTGAACTATAGGCCAAACATTCTGTAATTAATATTAAGCCTCTGAGTGATTGCTTAGAAGTGGCTGTGGGTCAGGGTGGGACAGAGAACCCTCCATTGACACAGTGCACCCTTGCCTTCACTTCACAGCTGTGTCCCCAGACTTCAGAATTTACCTACATTGAATGAGCGCTATACCTGCACACAGTGAGGCATCCCTAAGGAAGACTGCTTGAATCCAAAACACTCCACTTAGGGACCACTGTTTTGTTTTGTCTTTTGAGACTGTGTTTCTCTGTGTAGCCCTGGCTATCCTAGAACTCACTCAGCAGAACAGGCTGGCCTCAAACTCAGAGATCCGCCTGCCTCTGCCTCCTGAGTGCTGGGATTAAAGGTGTGTGCCACCACCGCCCATTGTTAGGGATCACTCTTAGTCCCTTGTCAAGACAGGCTTCCCAGTCTCAATGCAAAGTCTATCCCGGGTCCTGACAGAATCTTCTAGTAGCTGCTTGGGCTGCCTAGGCTGGGGAGAGAAGCCACCTCTGGCAGTCTTGGCAGGGAACTGGCTGTGTTGGCATGAGCTCCCAACCTGGACTCCTACAACTCCCACATTTAACCTCTTCCCCGAAGTGCCAAGGGTATGACGGGCATCTGCAGGAAGCCCTCCCTGAACTCTAGCCATTCCCTACTATGGGTGGCTAGACGCCCACCCCAAAGGATTACTAGACTATCTACCCTGCCTCTCACCCTCTCAAATGCAGGTTCTCAAACGGAGACCATTGTTGAGCAACACAGCTGTGGGAAGGTCCCACTAGTGAATGAAGATTAGGGATTCACTTAAACCAATTGCACAGGACACCCCCAAAGCAAAGAAGCCCCTGCCCCCGAATGTCAACACTGCTCAAATTGGCATAGCCTAATCAGTTTCCCATTACCAGTACTGGAGATGGAGATTTTTAGACCCAGAATCCCAAAGCTTCCAGCCCACACCGGACTGGAGGGCAATCGACCTGTGGCACACTCCACTCCAGCTCACAGTCAGAGCTACGCAGTCAGTGTCCCCTGGGGGAGCGGGCAGCGTGTGACATCACCCTTGTCCCTGTGACCTCACAGGCCTCCTGTGTGCTGGGCTCAGCATGCTCTACCTCCCTTTCCCCAGGAAGCCAGCAAGGCAGGGGAGGTACTCACGGCACCCATGAGCGCCAGCCCAGAACCTATGTTGATGACGGTAGGGATGATGCTGAATTTTCCCGCCTGTGGAACAGAAACAGCCAGGTGAGCACGGCAGGGTGGACAGCTGGATCCCAGGGCCACTCCAACCTCCCTGGCCCAGCAGCCACCAGGCACTGGAATGGGAAGCAGATCTGCGTACCTTACCGTTGACGATTACGTCAAAGCGGATGCCATAGGCTTTCATCAGGTCACGGAACTCTACCCCGTTAGGGTCACGGTAATACCTGGCGAACCTGGGGAGACAGGGCCCAGGGGATGCTCATCTGCCTGTACCTTTGCTCCATTGCAGCACAAAGTGTCTGCTTTGAGGAATTCTCAGCATTCCAGGGCCCAGACCTGCTCACTGAGGCATACACAAAAGACAAGGCTTTCCCAGTATGCTCGGTGCCAACAAGGACCGCAAGAACACTGGTGAACTTGACCCAGCAGAGGATACAGAACATAGTCAAGGTCACCAGGCAGCACAAAAACAGCCGTTACCTGAAGTTGTACCCAGAGGAGATGGATTTGGTGTGCTTGTTGTCCAGACGGTTGAAATAATAGCGTGGGTTGCATTTAGAGGCAGCTTTATCGAGGTCACAGTCCCATTCGATATGGATTCCTATCACACCACCCTTGAGACAAGAAACAGGGTGAATGCTAGAGTTGTCTGTGGGTGGACAGAAGTCACAGGCCAGCCCTTTATGAGAGTCAGACAAGTGGGCCGGAGGTCAGCTAGCTGGACTGGCCTGACCACACTTTACACACAAATCAACATGCGTCCTTGGGGATCCTTTCAACTCTTTCTACTGACATTCTAGAGTCAGAGAACCCAGCGGGTGCCAGGTCAGCCCCACACACACACCCATTCCCACTGAGTGCCTGATAAAGCCAGGCCATTTGTCACAAACAGTTCTGGAAATAGTGAGCTCCTGAGGACAAGTGACCTAATGTCCCTCCACCCTCACCTTCTCTCTGCAGAGCCCAGGTTCCCGGGGAGAGCCCCCTGACCACACACCACACACCTTCAGGGCTATATCCTGGAAGTCAGCCCCTGCCCAGCGGACAATGGACCCCAGCCGGAAGATGGGACAGTAGAGGTTCTTGGAGCTGAAGTGACAGGTTTTCAGGAAGTCTTTGTTGTTTGTTTCTAGCACATTGGCTCTAAGAGGAAGCCATGACAGGAGGGTGACATGTTCTGCTGCTGGGCCTGACCCAGGAGGCAATGGGCCCTTTGCCAGACATGATCTCTTCCCCAGCATGTATCTTATTCCCCTCAAGAACAGCGACCACCCCAAGCAGAGAAAAGGACACCCCAGGGAGGGCCCTCAGCCCACCTCCCCGCCCAATACCCAAGTCCCACCTACTTGGAGAAGTTGAACTTGGGGAAGCGAATGAAGTTCTTTATGAAAATGGTGAAGCCTTCAGCATCCTTCAGGAGGGGATCCCTGAAAACCAGGCCAGGGTAGCCTGAGCGGGAGACCTGCCCCTGCCCTCTATGACTCCCCTAGACCTACGGAGTAGGTAGGCCTCTGGCCTTGGGTGGGACCCACTGTGTAAGACTGCGTAGACAACTCCTCTGGGACCACAGGCCACAGCCACTCACGTTGGCATGGACATTGTCTCCACTGGGCACCAAGCGAAGATCTCACAGGTACCCTGGGTAGAGTTCCCCACCCGTAGACAGCGACCAGTTTTCAGCCCTGCAGGGGAGGGACAGGGGCAATGCCATGGACCTTCCTGTCCAGGTTTCTTTGCCCTGCTCCAGCCCCAGCCACGCCAGGCCCTCACCATGTCCAGCGACAACAGGCTCCCCAGCACTGCAGTCAGTGTCCTCAGAACACTCGCCATCAGGAATGCCTTCACGCTGCAAGGAAAGACAAGGATCTGCGAGGAGCCTAGGACTGGGTCCCATCAGAGATAGAAGAGGGCTCCTTCCCCGGCCTGAGACCCTTTGAAAATCTGTTTCTCGGGCTAACACAGTGGCTCCGTGGGTAAAAACATCTACCATAAAAGCCTGGCAGCCTGTTTAGTGCCTGGAAACCATGGTGAAAAGAGATAACCGGCTCTGACCTCCACGCACATGCCGTGGCGTGCACATACACACATGCACACACACACATGCACACACACATGCACATACACACATGCACACACACATGCACATACATGCACACACACATGCACGCACACATGCACACACACACATTCACACATGCACACATGCACATGCAAGCAGGCACTAATCATGAAAGAAAATGTAAAACTTTAAAAAATTAAGAAAACCCATCTCTTCCCCCCAAACCACATGGTACCATTCAGTATTTATACAGCTTCTTGGCACTCTTGGAGCAAACCAAGCCCCTGTTTCAGGAGGATTGTCACCACAGCCAGGGGCTTTCCAACCCTCCCCAACACACATGCCAAATCAAACCTCAGCACAGATGCCCTGCCGCTGGTTAGGAGTCACGATCAGGTTGGTGACCACGAAGAAAACGTTCTCCCCCTGAGGAGCCAGACAGAGTTTTGAGGAATTTCCTCCTGGCCTTTCGGGGAAGAGTCGTGGGCCTCTGCATGGGGTTGGGAACAATGGGGACCACAAAACTCGTGGTCACTGTCCATCTGTCTGGTCATCCACACTTTCCAAGTGGCTATCTTTTGTTGGGTAACTTGCAGCTTCTCAAACCCCAAGCACGTTCACCCTATAATTCTGTCCCCACCTCAGCCTGGTTCTATCTACACAGGGCAGCTATGAACAAGTTGGGGAGCTACTCTTGGGACACTGTGCCAGGTCATTCTGGGTCCCATGTGGTCTCAACAGACACATAGATCACTGAGAACAAGAGAAGCCAGGCCTGCCTGGTGCAGAACAGGAAGCAGGGACCCCATAGGGAAATGGACCTAGACAGGGTTTCTCCTGAGCAGGAGAAACAATTGATGGAGTTGCCTGGGTACTTCCTATGTGACCCGCCCCACCCCACTAGCCCAGGACCCAGGTAGAGATCTGACCTGAGATGGAATGACAAAGTCGGCTACATCCCAGAGCCGTTCTCCGAGCATAGTGGTATTGGTATAGGCCACGCCCTTGACTTTGGTGACCACAGCACTCTGCAGGGAAGTGTCAATATCTTGGTAACTCTTCTTTATCAGAAACACCCATCTGTAGACATATGACCAACAGGTAGGCTTCAGTCACAGGGCTGCGCAAGCCCAGGCTGGAGTGAGAACCATAGTAAGTCCTAGGCTGGTGGGAGTGAGAGCGAGCTCAGGGGTCACCTGTCCCATGAGCATGCGTTACTGTACTCAAGATGCTAAAGTAGGAAGATAGACAGTTGAAGGGCATTCTGGCCTACAGGATCAGACACTCTCTTTTAAATAAAATCCGAGGTTGGAGACTTGGTTTAGCGGTTAAAGCACTTGCTGCTCTTGCAGAGGGTCCCTTTCCCATTCCAGGCACCCACTCGGTGGCTCACAACCATCTGTAACTAACAGTCCCGGTGCTGGCCTCCTCAAAGACAGGGGCCAGGCACACATATGCACAGACATACATGCAAGCAAAACATTTGTGCACATAAAATAATAAAATTAGTAACTCTAAAAAAGAAGAAATTGCCAGGTGTGGAGGCATACACCTTTAATTCCAGCACTTGGGAGGCAGAGGCAGTCAGATGTCTGAGTTCCAGGCCAGCCTGGTCTACAGAGTGAGTTTCAGGACAGCCAGGGCTACACAGAGAAACTGTCTCAAAAAAAAAAAAAAAGAAAAGAAACAAAATGCCAAAGGTGGAGGGAAGAAATAAAGAAACCCAAGGGGGAGATATACTAGTCCAGGGTTTTCCTAGCATGTACAAGGCCTTGGGTTTGCACCAAAACACAAGCAAATTAGAAATAGTGAGACAGGTGGTGGTGGCACACCCGTTTAATCCCAGCACTTGGGAGGCAGAGGCAGGTGGATCTCTTTGAGCTCAGGGTCAGCCTGGTCTACAAGAGCTAGTTCCAGAACAGTTAGGACTGTTACACAGAAAAACACGCTAAGAAAAACCAAACAAATAAGTAAATAAGCAAATGAAATCTCATATTTTTTTATACTAAAAAACGAAAGTGGGCCAGCAAGATGGATCAGGAGATAAAGGCAGACATTCTGAGCTTGATCCCCACACACCTGGTGAAAGGAGAGAACAGACTCCCATATGTGTGCCATGCCACATGCTGTTCACACACAAAAACAAATAAAGAAAGTAATAAAAATATTAAAAGGCTGAAGAGATTGCCCAGGAGTTAAGAGCGTGTACTGCTCTTGCAGAGGACCTGCGTTCAGTTCCCAGCACCCACATTGACCACCTGCAACTAACTCAAGTCCCTAGGGCTCTGACGCCCTCTGACCTCCATGAGCACCTGCACACAATGCACATAAACTTATGATAAAAATGCAAAAGATAACCAACAAAACCAAATCAAAACAAAAAAAAAGAAATGTGGTCTCTTCAAATTAAAAACGTTTACACATCAAAGGACACTACCAGGGAAGAAAGTATAATTCAGGCTGGCATCAGCTCACAGCGATCTTACCTCAGCCCCTTGAGTGTTATAGGCGTGTGCCCCTCATCACATCTGTCTAAAGAGATAAATATGCCTGGACTGTATGTGTATGCTTGTGTGTGCTCTTGAGTCCAGGTACCCTTGGAAGCCAGAAGAGGGATCAGATCCTCTGGAGCTGGAGTTACCATTGGCTGTAAACCAATCAGCCAGAAAGAGAAAGAACTTTTTTTTGAAAGATTTATTTATTAATTATGTATACAGTATTCTCGGTATTCTGTCTACATGTATGTCTGCAAGCCAGAAGAGGGCACCAGATCTTATTACAGATGGTTGTGAGCCACCATGTGGTTGCTGGGAATTGAACTCAGGACCTTTGGAAGAGCAAGCAATGCTCTTAACCACTGAGCCATCTCTCGAGCCCCCCAGGAAGAGAACTTCTAAAAGAACAGCAAACACTCTTAACCACCCAGACGTTGCTGCAGTCCCTAAAAAGATAAACTTTAGAAATGAGATGGCCCTTGTCAAATGCTAAGCAGTGTTCCTGAACAGAGCCAAAGCCCCACGCACAGAACTCTCCAACTTATTCTTGTAGCTCGATATCATCCAGCTTAACCCGTCTTGGTGAAGCTGCAAACCGATCAAAAGAGGAAGATGCCAGCGCCTTGACTCATGCAGTGAGCAGCATGGCATGCTGGCTTGCTCCAGGGAGCCAGGGAAGTGTCAACCAACCTGTCCACTTCCTCGTTTCTGGGGCAGAGGTAGGGAAGCCTCGAGCCTAAGCTATCACATTTTCAGGAAACTCTTGAGAAAGCTGTGATTCTTGAGCAAGCCTTCCATTTCAGCAGAGAAATGCCAGGCCGGTCCAACCCAAAAGAGTAAGCAAATATTCAACATTCGTTCATTCCTTTCATACCTATGCCCAAGTGAAGTGACACCAGTCCCTCCCATCATGGCATCCTCAGACTGCAGGGAAAGAGAAAGAGACTCCGAGTAAATGACCATCCAGATTGGCCATGGGAATGCCAGGGAGGGACGGAGGAGTCATTGGAGCACTCAGATCTGAACAAGGAATGGAGCCACCGAGTAGGGAAGGAAAAACAGTGGCAGCTGAGCAGAGGCAGTACAAAGGCCCTGAGATAGGACACTGCCAAGTGCCTTGGCGCTAAAATCTCAGGAAATGTTAAGAATGCAACTATTAGCCACGCCTTTAATTCAGCACTTGGGAGGAAGAGGCAGGTGGATCTCTGAGTTTGAAGCCAGTCTGCTCTACAGAGTAGTTCCGGGACAGCCAGGGCTACACAGAGAAATCCTATCTTAAAAAAACAAACTAAAAAGAAAAGGGGGGGGCAACCATTAGAAGGCAGCGAGGCTAGGTCAGGACTGCCCTCCCAGGAGCAATAACTATACATGGTTTAATGAGGAAAAGAGAGTGAATAGCCACTGTTCTCCGTGGCTGCCTCTCTCCACCTGCGCCCTCCTCTCTCCCTAGGAGCAAGGAAGACCAAGGTCTAGCTGTTAAACCCCCAACAAGCTGCCCCTGGGCTGGCGGGCCCACATCCTGCTAGGTGAGAAGGCAACAAGGGGACAGTAGAGCTGCTGGACACTGGAGAGGCTGCCCGTGTTTCCCGTGAGCTAACCCTGAGTTCCAGAACATGCCAATCTGATGAGCTGGCCCAACCAAGAGTAAGTCAGTGATGCTCCGTGCTTATAAATAACCTGCTGGGTGCCTGGCCCAGCTGTCAGGCCAGAACCCAGGGAGGCCTCTGGGGGGCAGCTGAGCCCAGAGTCCTGGCATCCCTGCCTGTTGGCCATGGCTCTAACACTGAGCGCTTCAGTCCTGGGAGAAGGGGCTCCCTACAACAAGTAGCTTCAAACCAAGGTACCCAGTTGCCCATCCCACGTTTCACAAGGCGTAGAGTGTCCACTTTTCACCTTCCCACCCTACATCCAAGCGCCCATGAAGGCCGACTCCCCAAGGCCCCTGTGTGTCTACACCTTCCCCTCCCCATCACCCTGGCTTGAAAGAAGTGCCCGAGAACTCACATGAGCAAGTACAACAGGATGGTGAGCTGCAGCAGCCGGTAGAGCAGCCCCACCTTCTTGCTCTTGGCGACCACGAACTTTGCGGTCTTATAGTCGAACAGCGACTGGGCGAACCCCTTCCAGGCCGCCTGGCCCATACCTCCGGCTCACTCCGGCCGCCTCTGCCTCCTGCCGCCCCGCGGCCAACCGAGTACCCTTGCGTGCGCTGCCGCAGTCCCGGACGCGCGGCTCCAAAGGGCGTGAGCCGGAGGGCGGGCGCGCAGACCCGGGCGCGAGCACCGGGACGCCGGGAGGACCCCGCCGCCGCGGGGAGCCGGACTGCAGCGAGCGCCCAGCCTGGGATGCGGCCACCTCCACTGACACGGCGACACCACCGAGCTGTGCCTCCGGCTACTGGCCCGCAAGGACGCGCGCACCGAGTGCGGAGGCGAGGAAAGAGGGAAGGTGCTTTCCAAGGCGTCTCTCCCGCCCCTACCTCCTCCCACGGGACTCGCTCGAGGGGAACCGGGTGGGGAAACAGAGGCAGGATCCAGGAGGGACAGAGAGCACAGGAAGTGTAGGAAGATGAGTAGAGACAGTCACTAGTAATGACTACTTTCCAGATTGCCCTGGCCTCGCTGCTCACGGTGTCAGACAGGCTTGTAGGTCCCTAGCCGCCTGTGTCTGCTGTAATCCAGGGGGTGTTATGCCCACTTCTGCGACTGCGGGCTTAAACACTACAAATTTCTGGGGTCAAGGGCCAGCGGCCCCAGTCTGGTATGGGAAAAACCAGGGCACTAAGGTTTGGGGCCCTAAAATATGCTTAGAGTTCCCAAAGAAAAAAACTGGTCTCAACGCCATCCTCTGAGGCTGAACCAAACAGGGAGGGAGAAGAGGTCCCTGGAACTGAGCTTTGGAGCTGGTGTAGACTGGGGTAAGCTGTCTGTGGCAAAGGGCTGGGCGACTAGAGGCTTCCTGCGCTATGGGTCTGCATGCAGTAAGGGGCTGTGTGGTGAGAGATTACCGGGCTGTGTGTGTACTGTGGGACTGTGCATGGTGTGGGGCTTTGGTGGGGGGCTGTGTGGTGATGGGCGCTGTATGTACTGAGGGGCTGGGTGTGGTTGGGGGCTTACGGGCCAGAGCTAAGGGGCGAGGGGCTGTGCACACTATTTTTTTGCTCCTCTGTCTGAGCATTCCACCCCTGCTCCTCTCCTGGCCCTGGGGCTGACTCTCTTGCCCAGTGGGAAGCTCGTTCTCAGAAACTACCGACACTAGAGGTTGAAGACAGGTTGAAGCCCACCGGTGTGATCTCTAATAATGAAAGTCTCAGGGAAAGCCAGGTGGTGGTGCACATCTTTAATTCCAGTGCTTAGGAGGCAGAGGCAGATGGATCTCTCTGAGTCCGAGGCCAGGCTGGTCTACAGGAGAGTTCCAGGACAACCAGGGCTATACAGAGAAACCATGTCTCGAAAAAAAAAAAAATCACCATCTCGGGGGAAGGTCTACAGTTTTGCAACTGGGAGGAGAGGAAGGGGGGGCAAACTGTGGTTGGGATGTAATATATGAGAGAATAAATTAGAATTAGACATATTCCTGGGCTTTGCCCTTGAATGTCCCATTCATTCTAGGAAAGGGCATAGAGATCTACATGTTGTTCTTAAAGTGTCATTTGGAAACCATGCCTTGTTATAACTTCAAGCTCAACCCAGCCAGTTCCTCAAAAAGGCTTATTTTCATATGCCCAAAGTAACTCCCACCCCCACCTCGTCCCATGACCCCAATTTACTCCTGGAGAGCGCTTTTTTTTTTTTTTTTTTTTTTTTTAACTTTTCAAGACAGGGTTTCTCTGTGGTTTTGGAGCCTGTCCTGGAACTAGCTCTTGTAGACCAGGCTGGTCTCGAACTCACAGAGATCCGCCTGCCTCTGCCTCCCAAGTGCTGGGATTAAAGACGTGAGCCACCACCGCCCGGCTGGAGAGCACTTTTTTGTTGTTGTTGTTGTTGTTTGCTTTTGTTTTTCCAGACAGGCTTTCTCTGTGCAACCCTGAGCTGTCCTGGAACTCACTCTGTAGACCAGGCTGGCTTCAAACTCACAGAGATCCTCCTGACTCTGCCTCCCGACTGCTGAAATTAAAGGCATGCACCACTATGCCAGGCTATCTGCAGAACACTTTCTATACCTGAGTTCTCACTAATTATGCTTCCTGTGTCCCCCGACAAGACACACATGCTTCCTCCCAGTGCTGCTTCTATTCTGGCTCAAACCTTTACCGGCACCTATTGTGAATGTCATGACAGGAAGACATGCTAAAGAGATGCTTATGCCTGCCCTCAGACTGTCTGAGGATTGAAACAGGTTCCCAGGGGCCTCATGCTGGGAGGAAGGGAAGGCTGAAGCCTGGTGCCTGCTAGAGACCTCTTTCAGGATGGGATTTCACACAGTTCTCAAAGCTTCTCGAATTGCCTTGCAGAAGAGACAGCTAAGAATGGTGGAGGGCAGGACCACATCATGAGCAGGATGGCTTCGTTATGCACACTCCTGCCTCCTCTAAAGGCTGGGAGAAGGCTGTGGAGGGGGGCTGGGAGTTTGCTGGATCTGTTTGTTCCTCATCGAATACATCACCCTCTGCTTTTCACTATAACTTGTCTCATAGGCTTGTTGATGACAGGTGGTCAAAGCTAGCTCCTTCATGCCATCGGGGCCAAGTCTCTAACCCTGACAACTCCAGTCATCTTCTATTTGCTGCTGGAGAGGCCAGAATGTCAGGAACCTGCCCTTTGACCTGTTAGAGTGGCCACTCTGGCTTTAGAGACAGAAGCCTTGCTCTACCGTACCTTCCTACACACACACTGCATCGCTGAAAGTGGGCTGCAACTTCCAACAGAACTATCCAGAAGCTCGAGAGACCTTGAAAGGTATTTAGAGAGGAAAGGGTTACCTCCTTCTTATACCCAGTGGCTAGTCATGACATCAGTTTATTGCGTCTTTCAAAAAAAAAAAAAAGTGTGCACAGGTACATACAATCAATCAATAAATAATACAATTTAATTTGAAAGGAAAGGATAAATTCCAGAGTGTATTTCAGAAGTCAGGGTAAGCATGCTTTCTTGAGGGTAATGTTCCAAGTGTATGCCTGTATCTGACATTACAGTATGTATCATAATTTTTCCTGGGGTTTAGTTAAAATAATGTGGGGTATATATTTAAGTTGTGCCCCAGAATATCTGGACTCCATCTCTACATTTGAAGCCAACTCACTGGGCCACAAGCTCAGACTTGACACCCTCTGTGCCCAAAGGGGAGAGGAGTGCTCTAAAAACCTGAGTCTGAGTACTGCCTTTAATCCCAGCACTAGGGAGGCAGAGGCAGGCGGATCTCTGTGAGTTCAAGGCCAGCCTGGTCTACAGAGCTAGTTCCAGAACAGGCTACAAAACTACAGAGAAACCCTGTCTCGAGAAAAAAACAAAATGAAACAAAACAAAAACAAACAAACAAAAAATCCAAGCACTGGCTGTTCTTCCAGAGGTCCTGAGTTCAATTCCCAGAAACCACATGATAGCTATCAAAGGTCTATAATGAAATCTGGTGCCCTCTTCTGGCATGCAGGCAGACAGAACACTGTATACATAATAAGTAAATAATCTTTAAAAAGAAAAAAGTCTAAGGAAATTACCACAATTATTGCTTGCTCTTCTCTCCTCTTCCTCTTTTTCTCTTTTTGGTGGCAGTTTTTATAATGCTGGAGCTCCCACCTGAGGCCTTGCACTGAAAGCTCCACCCCTAGCCCTCGCCTGCCTTGAGGAGCCATTTTCTTTGATTTGACTAGCCCCATATCAAGAATCTTAGTGTCCCACAATGCCCTGGTAAAATAATCCTTGTCCCTACTGGCATAGTAAGTCTTTCAGAGCGTTGAGTACCTGCAGAGCCCTGGTAGATGGCTTCCCTGCCTAGATGAGTCCGCACAACCTCTCCCACCATCATTTGACCATCCTGACTGCCCCTCAGAGCTTAGATGTACCCGTGACCATACTGTTCGTGAGCCACAGCTCCTAGGAACAGGAGTACTACCAAGTGCCTCTAAATGTCACTCCTGGAGTCGGGTCTTCAAAGATTCCTCCCTGCCTTCTCACCTCTCAGCCTCTCCTCCCCCAAGTGCCCACCATGCCTCTTTACAATGAACAAGGTCTCCAGAAGTCAAGGAGGAGCAGCCAGAGCACCACTCTCTTTCACATGCCTGCATCTGGTCAGCTGAGCTCAGACATACACTCTGTGGAGAGGGGAGTTAGAACACAGATTCAACAGGCCTTTTTATTTTCCTAACATCTCCCTTCTCCTAAGACCTGGCACACTCTAAGTCTATTTTCTCCCACGGCTTGGACAGGCTCCTGGTATCTTGCTCAGCTGTGAGTCCTGGGATAGTTTTACTGTAGAAAACACAGTGCCACTACTGGAGAGACAGCTCAGTACTTGTTGTGGCCAGGCAGAGGTGGCGCACGCCTTTAATCCCAGCACTAGGGAGGCAGAGGCAGGTGGATCTCTGTGAGTTCGAGACTAACCTGGTCTACAGAGCGAGTTCCAGGACAGGCTTCAAAGCTACAGAGAAATCCTGTCTCGAAGAGAGAGAGGGAGTGAGAACTTGTTGCTCTTACAGAGGACCCAGTTTTGGTCCCCAGGACACCACCAAAAGGTGGCTCACAACCATCCATAACTCCAGTTCCAAAATATCCCATGTTCTCTTCTGACTTCTGCAGGCAATGGGCATGCACACACATACATGCAGGCAAAACACTCATACATATGAAACAAATCTTTTTTAAAATGGTTAGAAGAAAAAAAAAGTCACCTTTGGTAGAGGTCTCTGCAAGATTAAGTAACTCTCCTTCAGAGTCCCAGGATCCTGGAAGGCCCAGGGCCAAGTGTGAGAAAGTTTGTATGGCAGGAAAGGGTTCACCAAGGGCAATCTGTTCTCTAATTTCCCTTTGCTCTAAGAGGGCCTACTATGACCAGCATATTTCATATCAGGTATTTCTGATCCATGGAAGAACTTGTAATTGTGGGGCTGTTTCTTAAATTATTCTCTCTCTCTCTCTCTCTTTCTCTCTCTATCTTGTGTGTGTGTGTGTGTGTGTGTGTACGTACATGTACTATGACACATATGTAGAGGTTAGAGGAATCTGTTCTCTTTTTCCACCATGTGGGTTCTGTGGATTGATCTCAGGTGTTCAAGCTCGGCAGCAAGCACCCTTGTAGAGGACAAGAGGTCCTTGTGCACACAGAGACCTGGAGAAGCCAGGGAAAGTTAAATGTGCAGACTTACTTTTGACAAAGGAAGATGAACTTCAAAGGAAGTTTCCCAGTCTTCATGAACACTCAAAAAGGCTGTAGTTTACAACCTGGTGATCCTTTGTTATCCTTGGAGCCGGAATTTATCCACCAGAATTAA